ACACTAAATTGCTGAGGCTGACCTTGAACTTGCAATCCTCCTGCCTCAGCCTCCAGCACCATTGAGATTACAGGCATAAGCCACACTCCCAGCTTTATTTGAATATTTTAAAATAAAAACAGCATACTGTGAATAAGGAATAAAGTATTGCTAATAATGGGCTGCATATTAATCTAAGACATTTACAGATTTTCATTGTTCTGTATGACCAAGGGCCTCGGGCATGCTGGGAAAATTCTTTACCACAGAGTTACATCTCTTGCCCTAAAATAAGATTCTAAGACATCTTTGGATGTCTTTTGTTATCATCTATATACAGAGCACTTCCTTGTAGGCTGTATCTTTGAGTTCTCACAGCAGACACATTTATCCCATTTCACAGTAACCTACTGGGGTCTAGCAAGTTGAAGTTGTATTTTTTTGTTCAAGGAAAATAATAGTTCACATTCAATTTTTTTTTCAGTTAATCGTGCCTTATCTCTAAGGTACCTCCTGAACATAAAATTGATAAATTTTAAGTGTTTATTGACACTAGACATGAACCCAATTCTGTTCACTTAAACAGCATAAGACACAATCCCTCCCCTCCTTCGATCCGTCTCTAACCCACAGCACAGATGCCCATTTGGCCCCTGGACCAACTTAGCACCAGCCATGCAGAAACACTGGTGAGTGACACAGACCTGCATCTTCTTGGAGAGCCATGTGTTAAACAGAAAGGAGGAGCATGGGCCAGTCTTCGGGTGGTGCCACCAGGTTGGAGAGAGGGCCATGGATGTGGCCTGTTTTACAGGGCCAGCTAGGGAGGGCCTCCAGAAGAGGTGTCACTTTGCCAAGGCTGAGCTGTAGGACAGCAAACCCTGGGCATCAACACAGGAAGCAGCCGTGAGTCAAGGAACAGAAAGAGGCTGGGTGCCAGAGAAAGGTAGAGGGGCGGGCAGGGGACGCAGAGACCAGGCCTGGACTCAGCACCCTGTGCAGGGCACAGCTCCTCCTCAGCACACCCTTGTCCACCTCTCAGAGGCAGCACAATCTAGCAGCCAGAGAGGAAACAAGGAGGTCCCCAGCTTCCTGCTTCCCCGAGGCAATGCCCCTCCTGGTGGTTTCTTCTGATTCCAGTGGCCAGGAGTCCTTTCTCCTGTGAGACACTGATCCTTCACCCTCATCCAGACCCACTCTCCGGCTTCCCTGGGATTTAGCTATACCGTCCACTCATGCATTCAACATGAGTGCATTGCTGGGCAGATGTTGGGCACAGAAGTGAAGAGAGCAGAACGCCCAGGTCACAGAGACCAAGCTTGTGGAGGAGACAGACACAGGATATTCAGTGATGAGAAACTGATGTGACTCCATTTTTGATGAACCAGCTTCTACCTCAAGGCCTGTCCTAAAGAAGAGGGTGGGACCCTTGTCCTTAGAAAAACCCACAGAGCACTCCTAGGCACATTCCCACTCTGCTGAGTTGTTTGTCTGCAAATAACAGGAGAGATCTGCTGTGCCAGGTGTCCCTGACTCAGTCAGGCTGGGTGAGGACCCATAGCAACCCCCTAGCAGCCACCAATCAGCATGAGACATGGAAATACCTGGGATGCCAGATGACACCAAGTAGTTTATGGTGTTGATAACATGTTGGGAAACCATGTAGTTCAGCACGTACTCTCCTCATGGCCTAAACCAATCAGTTCAAAGGAATCCCCCTCTTGTGACTCTTGTGCTAACCAATCACCCCTACCCAACTTGTTCCGCCAGTGAATGTGCTAATCAATGTTAAGAGTTGTTGTTTGGCTTTCCCGCGGTATGGAATGATTTGCTGTGTGATGTTGTGACGCATAGAGTATCCCTCCAAAAACCTATAAAATCTCACTTAACAAAGGACCGGGACTCACTCCCTGGGACCGCTGCATTGGGAATGGAACAGTTGTGAGTCCAGGGGGTGACGAGCAACTTGTGTAGATTGATACAGCAGGAGTGGGAGCAGTTTATTGTAGGACAGGAGCGGTATTTATTCATTTCACACAGCTTATCTTAATTAGCATAAACTAGATACATCAGTCAACCAATAAGAAATCTCCACACTTAATGGCTCACTGGCCATACTTCACAAACCACTCCCTCTGGCATTTTGCCAGGCCCCATCCAGACTTGTTTACAGACCTTAACACTTGCAATAAAGACTCTTTTTTGGGGCTGGGGATGTGGCTCAAGTGGTAGCACGCTTGCCTGGCATGTGTGCAGCTTGGGTTCGATCCTCAGCACCACATACAAACAAAGATGTTGTGTCTGCCGAAAACTAAAAAATAAATATTAAAAAATTCTCTCTCT